ATTCTGGAATTACTTTGAGATAAGAGTTACAAACACTTCCCTGAAGTTTGTTTGTTCCATCAAGCTACTATGCGTTTTTAACGACACAATGTCTTGGTCCTCATAATTTTGGCCCACCCTGTAATGAGCGCACACCCCGAGTGTTTCGTATCCTGCTTAGATTGAAAATAGCAAGGGCTAAAGCACCACATGTCTATTTTCATTGAAGTAGACCCCACCGATAATAACACGCTATGCTTAGAAACTATTTCATTGACCTAGTGCGAGAATAATTTCTTAAAAACCAATATATCAGTCCCATCACACCTAATACTTACAGGATATACAGCCTTCAGTTCATAACTAGAAAAGGACCTAACTTCTATTATACAACGAATCAACCCAACACTGTGATGAACGCATGAACGCTTTTGGTGGGCTTTCCTTTAAAGATTAGAAAACATTCCTCATACACTCAACGATGAACAGTTCTGAAGCTGTGTGGAACTCACATCTGCTGTTTGTAGCCGTGAAGCGTATAAGTCAACCAATTCATTCCAGCCAGAAATATTGCTGCAATTTCCATTCGTGTTAAGCATTTTTTCAAGTGTCGTTGACGAGCTTGCAACATTGCTCAGCCAATCGAAGCTTCGGTCCCTAATTGCCTCGACCATTCTGGAATGAATCCAAGCGAAATTATGAATTTATTACAACTTAAAGCATAAAACGCATCACATAACTCACAAAGCAATTCAATAGTTCGCGCGGCGCCGACCGTTACGCAGGTCCTGCAATTCCCTACTAGGGCGCACTTGCTGCAGGGATTGTATCTCTAGAGAAATCACCTTAAATTGACTACAACTTAAACTAACTCAAATGAAACAAGGTCAGCTTTCAACGAACATCAACATGACAATTGATTCAACAATATGCACCAAAGTCACGGAAGAACACTTTCTGATGTGGGCGCAGGTGCTCTAATATTGTCAGGTCATATCACTAGAGGTTATGCTACTTCAATAA